CTGAGTTTTTGTCATCTTCAGGTTAGAAGTACCTCATGGTGTCATGCTAGAAGTTCAGTTGTGAAAACTCAGTTTCAAACTTTGTCTCTAATAGGACATAGGTTTTAAATGCCAGCAGATGGAGTCGTGCTATAATAAAGCCCAGGTGCCTATTGCTATGATTTTAAATTGTTGAATTCAACAACCATGCACTAATTAAATGATAGCTATTTTTACCCAAATTTGGCAGCAAATCAGGAAAGAATTTCTATCATAAAATGCTAACAACAGCACTCTTAAGACAGAACCCCAGTGTAATCTACAAGAAAGCAATGCCTTATTCTCAAAACTTGTATTTATTTTTAGCTTGCAAGTATGCTTATTGTTTAAATCACAGAACAGAGTACTACTTGATACTCAGTCTTCTTTTCTGTAATTAGATTTCTTCATATAATAAACATTTGGCTTAGACTTCCCCACCATTCCCCACAAAAACAATTTTCTTCCAAGACTTATAAAAGAACCACATTTAAGAACTCAATAAAAATCAGCAATAACTGAATAGCACCCAGTCATGTATGTTGCATGCTATATGTTACCTCACAGCTAAAGATCAGTGCTTGCAATGTTATGATAATCTCCTCCATTGGTGTCATACAAATTCCTGAAGTGTGGACTGCTATTACACTCTACCTGTGGCTCATTTCTGGGGGTGCTCTCTGGCAGCAGCTACATGCTGATTTTCATTTTCACAAAGGTTGCCCTGTGCATGCCTGTAGCACAGCCTCAACATGGCCCATATAGTAGCAGTGTCTTGCCTATGAGCCTGTAATGGTGACCACACCCCTTTGGGTGTGGCTTCAGGCAGCTGGAAGCAGAAAGAGGTGTTATCTCTGTGGGCCACTCTTTCTCTTGGGTTAGCTGATCTGATAGGAAGGGCAGAGAAATGCTCCAGTGGTCCTTTATTACTATGTGTGTAAGTGTGTGTAAGAACACCATTTATCATTTATCTTTGACCTAGTGAAATTGCTACACCCGTGCCTTTACCTATATGTCTTCACTTTCTTCAGAACTTCTGTGTTCTACTCTTCTTTACATAGTTTGTTTCCATAAGTAAAGTAATGATCAACTGGCTTAAATCACTTCAGGTAGTCATTCTCCCTCTTTCCTGTCTACTCCTCTCCAAAAACTTTTTAAAATTAATTAATTAATTAATTAATTTTTTGCTAGAGGGAATTATACTATAGGCCAGACTAGCCTAGAACTTACTATGTGAGCTATGATTGCCTTAAACTCTTAGCAATCCTCCTGTAACATCATTCAAAGTGCCAGGGCTACAGGTTTAAGCACCCATGCCCAGCTTGAAGGATACTTTATAAACAATTCCATCCTATCATTTAGTCTTCATATTATCTGGTACTTTCTGTTTCAAATCATGAATTCTTCATTATCTTTCTAGAGAAAGGATTGTAAAATTTCAGGCCTTTTTGTTTATTTGGTTGGTTAGATTTCCTCCTTTTGATTTGACACAGGGTCTCACTATGTAGCCCTGGCTGTCCTGGAACTCACTATGTAGACCAAGTGGGGCCCAAACTCACAGAGATCCTCCTGCCTCTTCCCACACCACTGCCCACATCCCCTACCTGACTATAGGGATTGAAGATGATGTGACCGCACCTGGCAAGAATGTGAAGTTTGTCCAACTGTATAAGTATCTCATGATTTTAAGGTTTCATTATAAATTTGTGTCAATGAGCTAGAGCAATGAGCACAGCAATAAAGATCATTGTTTGCTCTTCCAAAGGATCTGTGTTCAAATCATAGCAGCGGCACAGTAAGTAGCTCACAACCAAAGGTTACTTCAGTTCCTGGGGACCCAAGGCCATTTTCTGGCCTCTGTGTGCAGCATACATGAAAATGGTACACAAATATACATGCTAGCAAAGCACCCATGCACATAATAAAGTGGAATAGAATAGAATGAAATAAAATGACAATTAAAATTAAGAAATTAACTTATGTCAGTTAAATAGATCCAAAAATATAATAACCCTTGAAGAATCATCATAACCCATGTGTAACATTTACTGCTTTACATTTCAGTGCTACAATGTATTAGGTTCCCACTAATATCTGTTTTAAGATCCTGTACCTATCTAAACAACAAGGGCCAGTCATATTCCAATGATTTCTAAATCATTTGTTTTAGCCCCCTTTGAGCTCACCCTATGTACTAAATATTTACTTATTCAATCCTTGCTCTCTCTCATTCATTCATACATCTTCATCATTGGCCATGGGCTAATAATAGATCTAGCTATTCTCTGTCTCCATCTACAGAGTGGTCATATCCATGCTAATGATTCCTAAACTTGGATGATTAAAAGCATCTCATAAAGGCTTGTTTTCTTTTGGTGTCCATGTCTCTAAATACAACTAGATATTTTCATATAGTTTGGCAGCATTGCATTAGAGACCATTAAAGCATTCTAGGGAGTATTTATTATCAATCTCCAGTTCTATGTCTATAGGAATGCTATGATTTTCCACAATGATGCCCCCCCTTTTGAAACAGGGTTTCTCTGCATAACAATCTGGTTGTCCTGAAACTCAACCTGTAGATCAGGCTGACATCGAACTCACAGAGATCTGTCTGCCTTTGCCTTCTGAGTGCTGAGATTAAAGGTACATGTCACTACCACCCAGCCATTGATACTCCTTTTAAAGCATCTGGAACACCAGAACTGATTTTAGAAGCCATGGCATTAGATATGTAAATATTTCAGTGAAAACTAAAGTCAGGTCTTATTAATTATCATAATCCTAGAAGTTCTTGGCATTAGTAGTAGTTATTTATTTTCATTAATTTGTTGAAGTCCTAATCCCACATATAGAAAACAAAAACTATGGTGTTTTCCAGTATCTGATTGTTTGTTTGAGTGCTTGTTTGAAACCCAATTTCTGTAGTTAAACTGCCCTTAAACTTATTACTTAGGTCAGGGTGATTTTGACCTTCACCTCCCCTGTGCTGGGATTGGAGATGCCCTGGACTGTAACTAGCTGTGATGTTTCTTTTTTAAAAAAAGTACTTAAATAGCAAGTCAGAAGAGTTCATCTTCTAGTAAAAGGGATGGTTTTTACTTTGCTTAGGGTCTAAAATCAATTGTAATCCATCAGCAACTAGAATGTGCGCCTGGAGACCAAAACCTTGAGCGGAAATGTGATTAAGCCTTGCCAATCTAAGATAAATTGAGGAGTCAAAATTTCCAAATCTCTTGTACTTTTCTAAAAATAACTTTCAGGTAATTTTCTGGGTCTTGACCAAAGCTGGATCATGAAGAATGTAAGAGTTGACTGGGAAATGGTGAGGAATAAAGAGACATTTGTGCAGGCATTTCTCTCTTCTCGTTTCCCAGGGCACTAAGGGTTGGTTAGAAAAGGCTGGGTTGATAACAGAACTTACCCATTACTTGATGTACACATGTGTGTGTGCAATGTGCTTGTACATGTGACTAAGTGAGCATGAGTGTATGTGTGTGTGTTTCCTTTTGTACAGATTTGTTAACAGACTGACTTACAGTTAAACGAAACAAACTGTCCAATTCTTTCTTAACAAGGCATTAGCAAACTTTATCTGACTTGGAAGTGGCACAAAGGGGTTTTTCATTTTGTGCTGCAAATACTTTGTCACTGGCCACATGTGAGGGATGCCTTTCTAGGGCAGGACAGACAGGATTTGTTAACTTAAATAATTTGATGTCATTACTTCGAGCACACGATGTGCTCAGGTGTCACAGTCACATTTTTTCTCATAATCATGACAGTTCCATCCTTACAACTTCCATCTTAATAAAATCACATTGATTCTTTACTTGCTTTGTGATTTTGTGTTACTGATGATGGGACCCAGACTTAATGCATCTTTAAAATCTGCTCTACCACTGAGGTGTCTCCAGTCCTTTGTTTGTTTTCTGTTTTGGAGACAGAATCTCACTAAATTGCAAAGGTAGGCCTTGAAGTCCCTGTGTATGCCTTTTACTTGTGATCTTCTAGACTTAGCCTGCAGTGTACCTGGCACTATAAGTTTGTGCTACCAAGGCTAATTATAATTCACATTTGTTGAATCCCAGGCACTAGCATTTGCTCAATGCTTTTGTGTATACTAAACCACTATTAGATGACATTTGATACTACTAGACAGCATTAGGGGCCTCGTGTTATGTGAAAAAAAATCCTGACACATAACTAGCCTCTTGCATTTCTGAGTAAGATCATGCGTACAAAATTGCCTGAGATCACCTTTAAAATATCAACCCAGAAAGAGGATCTCTAGAGCATGTGCTGCAAATGACCTAGGCAGTATTGTCTATTTTCATCCCACCCTGGTGAATTTCACACAGTGCAGTAAAGAGTATCACAGCTTTCACAATCAATGACATTTCAAGTTTCCCTAAGTTCTTTAAAAGCACATGGATATTACAAAGAGGTAGTCTCATAAAGAGGACACAAAACCATAGGATTTTTAGAAGGAAAAAGACTTTGAAAGTGAGTCACCTGCACTTCTTTTAGTCAACAGCAGACCATGTATACTCTATATACAATGCAACCTCATAAATTTGTATTGCCTAGGGACATCATGGCCAATTATATTTATGTAATTACTTTCCATCATGTTTGCATGGTTATGATGAAATCGTTGAATAATGTATTCCTTCAGAATCTCTCACTGTGATTATATGGCCTGTGACTGATTTAGTGGAAATCACTAACAGTCATATCCCCAATCACTTTCTCTCCCACTCCTGCAATTCCTCATGGACTTGTTCAGTCACTCTTTGTGCTACCTACCACAATGTGTGTACACAATGTACGTGTTTATCTGCACATTTTGTTTCCTGCATTTGACTCTCAGATCACTTTTTGAAAATTCTGCTAGTTTTTCATATACAGAAGTCCCAGAGATGACTCTGGCTGGATTATTTTATTGTTCTAACTTGTAACTCTCTTTATTTTCCAAACAGGAGCAAAATTTATTGGAACATTCCCTATTCCAGACACCTATAATCCAGATGATGATAAAATATATTTCTTCTTTCGGGAATCATCCCAAGAAGGCAGTACATCAGACAGAAGCATTCTTTCAAGAGTTGGGAGAGTGTGTAAGGTAAGATTCATTTATTTTTTGTAAGATCCCTGTCTATGTGTGTGAAGCAACTCATTTTCAGTGTTGACGGAGAAGAGGCTATCCATTATTGATAAGGTTATAAGATGAGTTCACAATTCTATATATGTATAATTTTTGAAATGCAATTGTGAAGAGCAAAAACAAGTAATTTTCAAATATCCAATTTGATTTTCAATTCTTGATCTGCCTCCCTGGTTTTGTGCATCTTTGGCACTCTGCTGATGTTGCTCCGTTACTTAATGCTCTTTCCAGTAAGACCACTCACTGTCCTGATTCCCAGAGGGAAAATGTTTTCATGTAACATTAGACAATCTTATCTTAAAATTGAATAATCACTGCAGTAACTTAACCACTAACAGAATCATGTTTGCAATTTTATAAATGCACACCAACACCACACATGCAACAACCACACCTTTTGTTTGGAACAACTGAGTTTGAAATGCAGTTATAGCTTATTATATTAAATGCTTCCTATGCCATTGATCTAGATTAAGTTCTGAGAGAAAAATGAAGAAAAGATAACTTAAAGTATAAAATGTTATTGTAGAGAAATCTCCAATTAGTTCTGAATGTTGCCATTTTATGTAAGTTATACTAACCACATTAACTGCTTGAGACACTTACATTTTGTTCCATCAGGGCTTTTAGTTGACTGTCTATGGACTTTATAGACAGCACTGGAGGCAAATTCTTGATGTCTGAATGTATGCACATTCTTCTTGGATTTGCTTCTGCCGAAAGAACTTTCCTGAGGAGACATAAATCAGTTATGAGCAAGAGCTGTTAAGTTAATAAATACCTTCTTCAGGAATCTTTCTTTGGTCTTAAACAAACTTTTCATTTTCTTCCATATAAGCCTGTCACTTTTTGTTTCATTCTGTACCCTCAGGCTTCTGAACACTTCAGGGACAGGAATACAAACCAACACCACGCTTGAAATTGCTAATGACAACATGTCTTTTGAATGAAGCTGACTTTTGAGCCCAGACCCATTCTTTGCTTACTATCCTAGCCAACAATGCTATCTCTCCCACTGATCCTTTCGCCCCCACAGGGGACAGATTCTCTGAAAGGCATCCTCATTCTCTCAGAGGCCAAAACTCTGCAGTATTCTTTCAAAGCCTCCTGCTAGGCTGAAAGGCCATGCCTGGAGTGCTCTTAGTATGTTAGTTTACTGAAGCATGCCATATAACAACAGTATAATGACCCCGAAATCCATGTGGTAGATTGACACTTAGTATAAGTGAAGTATGTTAAATATGTTAGAAAGGGTTTATGAGCACTAAAGGCATTTCATGAGTCTTTTTGAAAAACCTGTATGACAAGTGTGCTGTTTATGAGGAAGGTCAATGCTTATTTCTTAATGGATAAAATCCATTTGATTGAAATTTATTAGTAACCAAGTAAAGGTTTTATTTTGGTGTAAATGAATCATAAGGGTGGATGAATACCTTGACCCTTGCCAGTTATAAATTTCTATATAAAAACCATAGTTAGGATTGCAAGCATTAACTATGGAATGCTCTTTTTAGCTGTGGAAAAAAAATTGAAAAGGCAGAGAAATGCAGGAAATGAGTCTTCCCAACTCAAAAAAAGCCTCTGAGACTACATAGTAAGATTCTGTCATCCAATCAGCCTATCAAATCACGATCAAATAAAGAAGTGATGCATCAGAGACTTTTCACTCAGTGTGTCTCATCTCTTAATCATTCTTTTAACTGGGTGATATCTTAAGAATGCTCACAATAGCTTGGGCCGAATGGTGATAATACCTGGTTCTAAGTGCTTTGTTTTCAATTCAATTACAGCACATCCAACTCATATTCATTCTTAATTTATGTGTTACTTTAACATAAAACAATTCTTCTGATTTTTTTTTGCAATTTACTCTTTTTTGTGGGTATTTCCCTTACTTCCAAAATATCTTAATATTATTTCTCTAATTTTCTTGTAAAGTAATAACAAAAAACCCATAGATTTATCATGAAACAAAATTGAGTTTGATAATTATAAGAGTATAGTCTAAAAGGAAGATGTCATAGTAGGCAGAACTAAGAGTGAGCTGTGAAAGCCTTTTTGCTTTACCAGGTTTTGTTCTAAAAGCCTGGGAGTCCTTTATCCTGCTTGTTCTGCTCATGTTTTCCCACAGTCCATATTTGGAAACACAAAGGTTTTGTTCTTGCTGCCATTGTTTGCTTTCATATTTAACTAATACTTTGACACAAAGAGGAACCTATGCCAGTTTAAGAATTTTCTGCCTCTTTTGTTATTAAACTTTTAAAAATGGCGCTTTGTTGACCTGGAAAATCTGTTTTCTTGACTCATTTGGCATAAAATTATTGGTAGGACTACTCTCTCTCTCTCTCTCTCTCTCTCTCTCTCTCTCTCCCCCCCCCACACACACACACACACAAACACACACAAAGATTAAAGGTTGTTCAAGAGAAAGACTGATATATTTAATATTATAATCCATCCATGCATTTTATTTGAATATTTTGCCAATAGCAACAAAATATCACTTCCCTAGCACACACACTACACTGATGATACTGAGTTGTTATCCTTGTCTTTTAATCTCAAAGTACACTGAAGGAAATGCATATAAAAGATACTCATCATAGGAGATGATATAAATAGGTGATATGACAACTCTAAGTTATCAGTAAAGTTTGAAAATATCTTATGAAGGGAAGGATTGAAATGAACCATATAGTGTGAAGAGGCCTATGCTACATGGAGAAATGGAGGACAAGTGTTCCATGAGGCATTTGACAGGGTAGATCTTGTTCTTAGAAGGCTGAAAACTTGTATCAAAAATGCAAAGCATGTGTCTGTCAGGGGAGCAATGTGTTTGTTGTAAATTAGATGATAAAGTCTTGTTTCCACGTTAGCAAGTTCGAACATGATCCTAGGCAATAATGAGTTACTCAATATTTGAGATACAGAGGGACAAGTTGGATATATTTAGCCCACATTTGAAGAATCCATCTGGATTGAGAAATATTTGTGATTAGGAAACCTGTTGTATCCAATATAGTATGAATAAAGACATGAAGGACTATTTAGGAGATATTTCAAAGAGAATTTATTTGTACTCATCTGAAGTACAAATAAATATCATTGTCTTGTTGGAAGATAGGTACAGATTAGTGTAATCCATGATCATGGTCATGTTCATACCTGCAGTATTTAATGAGTAATCAACATAACATGCTGTTATGTTGAAACATGGCTACCAAGACAAAGAACTGAATTCACAATGCTTCCTTGTTCCCATTCCAGAAGTGATATCAGCTTCACATGGTATGTGTCCTAGATGGCACTTGTCATAAAGATAAGTACTCCTATACTCATGGTATCTGGGTTTTAGGAGTCAAGGCATGGGTCTTGACAATGCAGAAATGGTGCATTTCTTTATGAAGTAGGAAACAGTGTAGATGTTCTATTGGGACATTCTCATGTTGATGTGGCTTTGAAATATGCTAGCATATTAAGCTACTTATGAAGCTAAGGTCTAGTCTCAGGTCTAGAGTTTGAAAGCTGCTAGTATTTTGTTGGCTTTTGAGTCATGGAAGTAATGAATTGTTCAGAAATGTTTGTAGGTAAGAAGAAACACAGAAACAGAATCCAGAGGGACAGTAACAATTTTAAGAAAATGTAAATTTCCACAAAAACAATTGGAGAAGAATTTGTTTTGTGGTGTAGTAGGATGGGAAGGAGTTACCACCTACTATATGGCAGTGATGTTTTGATAAAAAAGACAGTTACTATACAACTGTTTCCTGGTTCTGGATATTATGAATAATGTTACTATCAACATAGTTGAGCAAATGTCCTTGTGGTATGAGCGTGCATCCTTGGGTATGTTCCAAAAGTTGTATCACTGGGTTGTGAGGTAGATGTATTGCCCAATTTTCTGAGAACCACCATACTGATATCCAAAGTGCAGTACAAGTTTGAACTCCCACCAGCACCTTAAGCTTTCTGAATGGAGACAGAGGAGGAGTGGCTGGGGCAGGAAGGGGGTAGAAGGGAGCTGGGGGGAGGGAAAGAGAGGAGAGGAGGGAAGGAAAACTATGGTTGGTATGTAAACTAAGTAAAAAAATGTAATTCAAAAGTGCAGTTATGGGTAGGCACACTTAGCCATAATCCTAGTAATCAGGAGCCTGATGCAGGTAAATGAAATAGAATGGAGAGGAAGGAAAGCATGTGGATGGGATGGGAGGAGAAGAGAAAAGAAAGAGGAAAGAAACCAAAGCAGTTTTCAATGATGTTACAACCCCAAAAAGTCAGGTATGATCAGGATTTAAAAGCCCGGATTTGATAGTCAACATATACGTGATGACTGCTGCTTTGGGGATAGAAACACTAAACTTAATACATACCTCCTATCTCTTCCCACTTTCTCCATTTTTTACCTATATAATGCAAATACCCATATATTCTATGAATATTGTACCAGAAAAAAACAATAATGCTTAAGTGAGAGCATTGGATTTACATGTGACAGATGCTCAACTGATTATTGAAATGGATTTCTGGATATGAGGACATAGCAAACTAATGTAGGAGACTTACAAGTGAAGAATATAAAACCTAGTCATAGTACTTGAAAATGCGCAGTCACACATATCATATAGATAGACTCTTGAAACCTGTTCAACTTAGCATCTCTTATGAGCTGAAGAAAGTAGTATAGTATAGTATCCTGTATGTTATCCACCAAATTGTACTGACAAACAATGGTACCATATTAGGTTTCCATTTGTTTTGTTTAATTGAAGACAATATTTCACCCTGGAGGCCAGGCTGGCCTGGAACTCACTGTGTAGTCCAGTCTGACTTCAAACTCTCACAATCACCTTATTTCTACTTTCTAAGTGCTGGGATTTCAGATATGCAGCATCATGCCCAGCTGGTGTTGTGTTAGTTGTAAATGTGGAAAATACGGTTATTTTTGTTGTCATCAACAG